TAATATTTTTTTCCATTAGAACATTTTCTAATTTCCTTATGATTTCTTTTTTGACCCATTTAGAAGTGTTGCTTGATGTGCAAATATTTGCAAATTTTGCAGATACTTTCCTGTTATTATTTCTAGGTTTTTTTGTTATGATCAGAGATTATATTTATTATTTAAATTTTTAAATTTAATTTTAAGCCCAAAAGATGTTCCTCCTTGGTGAACAAAAGTTTCTTATGCACTTGCATGTTGTATTGTTTTGAAGTGAAATAGTCTATAATGAAAATTACCTCAAACTAAATGATATTGTTCAGGTCTTCTCTATCCTTGCTAATATTCTCTCTCATTACTCTCAGTTACTGAGAAAGGAGTGTCATGAATTTGTTTATTTCTCCTTTCAGTCCTACTTTTTGCTATGTGTATTTGGAAACATGATCAGATGCATGTACATTTAAGATCATTGTGTCTTCTTGATAAATTGACATTTTCATTATTATGTGTTTTTCTTTATCCCTGGTAACATTTCTTGTTCGGAAGTCTATTTTTCAAATATCAATATAGCCATTACAGCTTCCTTTTTATTATTATTTGTACAGTACATCTTTTCCATCCTTTTACTTTTAACCTATCTATGTCGTTTTTTTGTTTTGTTTTATTTTGAGACAGGGTCTCACTCTATAGCCCAGACTGGCTTCAGACTTGCTATGTAGCCCAGGATGGCCTTGAACTAACTCATGGCAATCCTCTTGCCTCAGCCTCCTGACTGCTGGGATTACAGGTGTGCACCACTATGCTTAGCTTCTAGACTACTTTCATTTAATGTAGGGATGGATATAATTGGTTTTGGGCCTCCCACTTTCATTTTTCTGGTTTTTTCCATCATTTTTTAAAATTTCCTGCCTTCTTTGGGAGTACTTGAGTTGTTTTTAGGATGCTGTTTTAAGTTTTTTACCTTAATTTGCATTTTTTGGCTCTATTAGTTATTGCTCTAGGGATCACAATAGACATACATAACCTTTCAGTCTACTTAGTACTGTACTATTTGAAGTATAATACATGCCTTAGTTACTTTTCTTGTTGCTGAGACAAAATACCTGACCCCCAAACTTAAAGGAGGAAAGATTTATCTGGCTCACAGTTTGTAGAGGTTTCAGTTCATAGTAGGCTGGCTCCAAGGCAGGATGGCATGGCAGAGGGGCATCACAGAGGAGAAATAGTCCATGGCAAGCAGGAAGGCGAGAGTATTAGCCCTCTTTCTGCCCCTTCTATTGTAAGTAGGCTACCTACCCTAGGGCCGGTGTAGCACTCACACCCTTAATCCTAGCCAGAACTATGCCAAACCAATCAGTGGACTGATTTAGTAATCACACACTCTTGATCCTAGCACCACATCATCTAGATCCATTCACCTCTGCAAAGCCCCCTCCCCATAACTGCATGAGGCTTTGGCGGGGGGGGGGGGGAATCTAGACATGAACCATAACAATACAGAAGTCTTATGAACAAATAAGTCTTTATCTTCCCTCACTGGTCTTTACTCTATAGTT